TAACCTGCAGAGCAACACCATCTTCCACTCTCCATGCCCACGCCAGTCTGACCCCCCTGCATGTCCCTGTAAATTTCTCCTCTTACCATCCCTCCGGTCCTGCCTCTCATCCAGTTCCCTGGCACAGATTACCAGTCTGGGAGATGTACACCAGCAGGGATAGAGCCAGGCGAACCCAGTCGGGAACAGAGTCACGGGCAGCTTAGTCAAGAACAGACACCAGCCTCTCTGGGTTAATTATTTTCACACGATTCAGCATAAGGCTCCTACTCCTCAAATGAAGGCAGCCCTCAGAAAGGAATCAATTACACTGTTTGCAGCAGAAAATTATTTCACTATGAAGACAAAAAAAACACAACAGAAACCACTACAGCAATGGATTTATCCCCCAGTTTGCTTCTGCACAGCGAGGTTTGTTTCCCAAAGAAACAGGCCGGTTAATGTTTAATGAGGTGTTGTTTGGTCAAACACACTCCAGCGGCCTTGTTCCACAGAAACAGATGAACGTTGATCTGACTGCCAGATTTGATGGCGTGCCAAATGGTTAACGTCCGACTACCTACAAGGACGAGTTCACAGGGGCACTGGCCCCAGCTGAATCCTGATTGGCCCTCAGAGTTGCCCCTTTTGTCACTCGTCGATTGAAAACATTCGATTGGCTAATAATGAGGTTGGTGCTTCTCCCCGTATTATGGCCCCTCTTATGCTCTCCACCTTAAAAAAAAAAAAAAACCTACAATCCCCCTGTGTAGCTCTAACTCAGGATGTGACGTGGGGGGAGGAATCCCACTGTGACCAGGCCCCCGGCCCGCAGATCCGCCCATGTCTGGGAAACCGCCGGATTCGATTTGCTAAGTGGAAAGGAAATCTCATTAGGATAAACGACATCAAAGCGCTGGTGTTAATCACATAAATGATGGGCTGTGAGGCCCAGAAGCTGCATGCTTTTCCCCTCAGGAGACAGAGTAACAGCGGAAAATGCTGCATGTTTTCATCCCGGCGACGGCTCCCTGGCCAATGCGCAGGTCAGCAAGACAGCCCCACATTCCACTCTGCTACGTCCATTAAAAAATGACAGCAGAGGCCAGGTGCCCGTCGCCAAGGCGAGCGTTTCTATAGTTACATACGTGTAACAGCCTGGTTGCAAATGAGTAGCGTTATAAACTGTGTAAAATAACTGGGGGCGGGGAGGGGGGGAACAATAAGAAATGAGGCTGGTTTCATTTAAGAGCATGTATCTTTAAATATACAGTGCAGAAAGCAGTGCTGCAATACGCACTGTGTTTAGTGTCGTTTTCACGCTGATGCAGGTACAGTGTAGCTACGACAACAGAGGTGGGCTATGCCTGCTTCTTCTGGCAGGGCTCACAGAAACATCAGAGCCAAAGCAGAGCTTCAGGAAGCAGCTTCGGAGCGGGGGAGCAAGCAGGGCAGCTGATTTCAGGAGGAGGACAGGCACTGGGGGCAAACCGGGACCAGCAGGTCACACACACCAGTAAACATGCAATGCAACACTACAAGGGCCATCTTCACAGGCCAGAAATATCAGCCGGCAGTGTGAATTTCACCCAGTCACACTTGCAGAGATCAGAGTGGATGGAACATTACTGCGTGACCTCATGACTGTAAAGGCATCCGTTTGTTGAACCACGCAGATTATCAATGAGATGCCAACATGTGTTTCCATGGCAACATACACTGAACAAACCCGGTTCCCTAGATCTGTCTGCCAGGGTGTGAGTTCATTCTCCTGTGACAGCATCACTTCCACAAAAACAAGCCCCCCCCCCAGTAGTCCAGACCCTCGCACCCACAGCTTAGAGGCGTCAAGATCCCAGACCTGCTTTATTTCCCTTGTAGTACATTTATTAGTACCTGGATGATACTTCAAGCAGGGCGTGTGTGTGTGTGGGGGGGGGGGGGGGGGGGGGCATTTGCCCATCTTCGATGCCTGCCAATGCTCCATTCCCAAGCCATGATGTAAGGCCCAACTACCAGCATAAACAAAAACAGATCCTGTCCATGTGG